CAGGGTCACACAGCACAGAGGACGTCAGTGACGTGCCCAGGGTCACACAGCACAGAGGGCGTCAGTGACGTGCCCAGGGTCACACAGCACAGAGGGCGTCAGTGACATGCCCAGGGTCACACAGCACAGAGGGCATCAGTGACATGCCCAGGGTCACACCGCTGGTAACTGGGATGCAAACCTGGCAGCCACACCAGAGCCTGCCCTCGTTCCCCACACCACCATGCCTCTTGGTGGGGCCCAGTGTATTTAATTTCACACTTTTACTGAATGTTATCCAGACAATTGCATGAATCAAATTGCTCCAGTCTTCACTTCACAGACAAGAAAGCCGGGCGAGCGAGCCCTGAGAGACCAGCCTGCCTGCCTTATCAGCAAAGCCAGGGTTTGCGTGGCCGCACCTGAGCTGGTCTCCCTATGATGTGCTATTTCTATTTGAAGTTTTTTAAAGTATTTCTCGTGGTGGTGGCATTCGTGATCGGCACCTTAGAAAACAGACGTATCTGGGCCCACATCTCGTGTCACGCACAGGAAGGTGTGGACTACCGGTATGATGTTAAGTGACAAGAGCTGATTTTAAAGCTTCGATTCAGTAATCCCAGCTATGTTTTCTCCGAGCCCCTCTGTGCGTGCAAGCATGTGTGTGTGTCTGTTCGTGCATGTTTTGTATAAAATCTCAAAGGAAGCATAATGCCATATTTCTAACACAGTGTTCTGGGAGTGTAGATGCTTTTTGCTTTCCTCTTTATTTTTCTGTATTATCCAAGCTTTCTATAATGAGCGTATACTGCTATAATGAACAGAGAAAACAAAAGGATTTAAATAATTTTTTAACTAGGTAAAATTCTTTAATTCCTTATTTATAAAAGTTCTGTAAGAAGATAGCTTTTTAAATTTAATTATAAAACGTTTAAACATACAGAAACATAATTTTCTGAACTTTGAAAAGATAGGGGCACTACAAAGGAAAGGAATAGATTTGAAACCAAACAAAAGGAAAAGAGACTAGGGAATATTTACAGCAGATGTGATGATGTTGAGACCTCTGTCACATAAAACGCATACACAATGAGGGTAGAAGTATTACCCCCAACAAGCAGATGAAATATCTGGGTTGTGTGAAAAGAGTTAATATGACTGGTGAGCAAACAGTCGGAAAAATGCAGCCTTTCTGATAATAAAGAATATGGATTTAAGACTGTAAGATGCCATTTTTTCATCTATCAAATTAGGCCCAAAATTAAAAATCTATCCTTGGTGCTTCCAACTGGAAGCCCTGGGTGTTGCTGGCAGTGTTGGAGCACCTTTACAATTTGATGTTATGTTCTAGAATTATCAGTGTATTCATACCCTTTTATCCAGCAATCAAATTCATGAGAATCTGTCCTAAGGAAATGATCCTAATTATAGAGAAAGCCACATGCCCAAAAGTCTTCAGCAGGGCACAATTTAGTAGCAGAAATTGGAAGAGGCCCAAATACCTTACAGGAAGTTAGCGCCGTAACGATATTTCCATAGAAGAAATGCCCTGGCAACCACTGAAAACGGGCACATCAGCCTTGAGAGCAGCACAGGAAAACATGCGTGTGAGTGAGGAGAAAGAGGGCCTTTGGTCAAATGCACAAGTGTGTCAGTGGGAGCCTGGTGCTGGGAGGCAGACACAAGGACCCTCGAATTGAGTTTTAGCTTCTGGTTTTTGTTTTTTTAACATTCTTAACACCAAGGGGCCTGCTTCAAAAATGCCAACAGACCCCTCCTGCCCCTAGAGGGCCATCAGTGGGAGGGTGGCAAGTGGCACTTCCCTCCGTCTCCATAACGGGCCGTGGCCGTTATGTTCTCTGTCGAAGCCAGAAACCGTGTCTTGTTTCCAGTTTGTTCAAATGTAGAGAGAGTTAGAAAGGCAGAAATGGCTCCAGGAGAGCGAGCCCCTGCAGCTGGGCAGGCCCTGGTCCTGAGGACCAGGTGGGTAGGGGTCCTTCCAGCATCTGGCCTGGCCTCCTTCAGCAAGGGATTTCTTTCTGGATGCCCTGCACTCCGCGCTCACCCCTGGGCCAACCTCACTGTGCTGGCACCTGCCTCGGACGCCTGTCGTGTATGGTGCTGTGTCCCCAGTGGATTTTAATTCTCAGGTGGTACTTGGTGTTGAGCGTACTCACTGGATCCTCAACTTACCCATCTTTCTGTACCATAATATTGACATGCTCTCTACAGTTCTAGGGAATTCTGTTTCTCCTTTTTTTTAATAGGGAGTGTTTGTTTCACACAGACTCTAAGTATTAACAATGACATGCTTAGCCCAGGTCTGTAGAGAAGAGCTGGTAACTTGCACAAGTTAGAAGCGTTCTTTACAGGAGGGGACAATATGACATTCACCAACACTCTGTCCTCTTGCCTATGCATTTCCTCTGTTTTCCTTGGTGATAAAGCCGACTTGGAGGTGGTTCTGTGTTCCTGAGTGCTCTCACCCTCCTCCTCTGATGGAGAAGCGTCCAGACGTTTGTCTTTCGTGTGACGGTGAAAGAAAACAAGCCACCAAGGGTCTGAGCAAACACTTGGTGCTCCCGCATGCTGGAGGTGTCCTGCTCACGGGCCACTCGTCCTGGTGGCGGTTCCTCTGGTTCTGTTTCTTCCCTCAGACCCTCCCATAGCTCAGGTGGGTGAGCTGACCACCTCAGGGCCTCCCTTTGTCATCTCACAGGCACTGACACGAGGTTTGAGATGACGCTTTCTTCTTGAAAGACTGAAGTGGCTCTGCTCACTGTCTGACTTGTTACAGAATTAGCAAACCATGCTGTATAGCAAGATGGTGAGAGCCTGGCCTTCACCAGCTCTGGGACTCGAGTCCTGTCGCAGGCGCGGGGCCTGGCAGGGAGGGTGCTTTGTGGCCGTGTTCTTGTGAATCGCAGCTCATGTCTAGACCCCAGAGGCTGTGTTCTTCCCATCATGATTCTGTGAGTTTCTGGATGCTGAATACCTTTCTCTGTGTTTGAGGTCTTTTTACAGCATGGGGAAAACTGCATCTGTTTCTTCATCTAGTGACAAGTTTGAAAAAGGATGGTGGCTGCCAACTTTAGGGCAAATATTAAACAACTTACATATTCTGAATAATTGATTTGGTTGATCTTTAAAACAGTGCTTGACTTTAATTTTTTTTTAAGAATTAGGAAAAATATTAAAAAAATAGAAAGTTTACATATAGAATTATCGGAGTGATGTAGGGAGATTAAAATGCTCTCAGTTACTTTTCTTTGATCATCACGTCCACCATCCAGAAGGAGCGGAACATGACGGGAGAGGCGTGACTGTGAACCTGTGCTGAGAACACCCTCCCAGAGCACGAACATGCCCCCCTCGCACTCAGCAGAAGGTCTGAGATGGCGGCAGTGCACAGTGGGACTCCCATCCTCCCACCCGGTAGGAACGGGGTTACTGTTTGTTTTCCAGGTCCAGCCCTCGGAGAAGCGCTGCCCCACCTCATCCCCATTCTCAGGAGCTGCCTCCAGCCGGCCCGCGACCCAGCCATGCGCCTGAAGCTCTTCTCCATCCTTTCAGGGGTGCTGCTGAGGGCCAAGGAGACAGTCGACTCCCAGGGGTAGGTCGGCTCTGCCTCCACGCAGGCCCGTCCCACACTGTCCCCCACTCCATGCTGTCCCCCACCCCATACTGTCCTTGTCCCCTACCCTATGATATCCCTCACGCCACGCTGTCCCCTGCCCCATGCCTCACACTATCCCCCACCTCACACTGTGCCCCAACCCCACGCTGTCCCCAACCCCATGCTCTCCTCGACCCCACGTTGTCCCCTGACCTCACACTGTACCCCAACCCCACATTGTCCCCCAACCCCATGCCTCACTTTCCCCCATCCCACACCCCCCACCGCACACTGTGGTGGGGCTGGCTGTCCCTCACACCGAGGTCTCAGGTGGGAATGGGGACCCCCGAGTGTGGGGGACCTGCTGTCCTGCAGCGCATCCTCCCCGGGTAAACAGCATGGTCCTGGCAGTGAATGCTCCGCACAGACAGACACTCAATCACAGTTGTTCAGTGTGGTCGTTAAAATTCCAGGGGATGAGAAGGTTGTGGGGAACGTGGACTGTTGATGGTTTAATGTATCAGCCGTGCTCAGTGTAAAAGCCTCACACAGTTGACTGAACTACGTTGATGGTTGAAGCGCTGGCGAAACTCCTCTGTTATCCAGGAGGACATGTCAGTGCGACTGAATCATTAGGGCCTCCAGCCTCACAGCTTTGAAGTGAAGGGACAGGGGACAGGCACCAGAGGTTGATATTGATGGGTCCAGGTGGCCTGGGGGTGTGGCAGTCCAGAGGCGCCCAGCCAAGGGCGTCATGGTCATGACGTGACTCCCACTCTGGGGAGACCCCTCCAGGGCCCACGTTTCCCTTTGCTGATACCAAATCAGCGAAGCATCCGAAGCAGAACTGGGCCTGCGGTCCCTGGGTGGGGCGTGCAGGTCTGCGGTCCTGCACGGTGAGATGCCGTGAGCTGTTTGGGGCTGTCCCCTCAGAGGGAGCAGGTCTGCACGAGTACAGTCCTGCCTCTTGTTGATGTTGTGAAGTCTCCTATGGAAATAATTGGGTCATTCAGACTGTGCTGCTCTGAATGTTACACTGATCCCTCTGCTGTTGGGCCTCTCGCCAGCCCATCATATTGCAGGAAATTTTATTTCCTGCTTGTCTACAAAAACTTTAAGGCTTAGAAGGGACCATAAAAAGATATTGAGTGGAGCCCTGGCAGCCATCCCGTTGGTAGGCAGATCTTCTGTAGATAACCCTCGAGGTTGTGTGAACGGGCCAGTCTTACCCCTCAGAACCCAGACTCAGCTGTGCCTCCCGAGAACGGTGAGCCCTGCTAAATATCGCCTCCAAATTTGGACCGAGTTCCCAAAAGAAACCATACTTGAAGACTTCCTGTGAAAAGAATTCGCTATCAGGGGAAGAAAGTTGTTCAGTTTATAATTATTTTAGTGAAAGTATTAGCTATTTTTACAGGTGGGAAAGATTTTAAAAAATAACGCCTCTTTGGTTTTGATTTTTAGGATTAAAAAATGGCAGAATCATAAATATCTAATTGACTTTGCTGAAATAGAAACAGTCGGGAGGGACTCCATTGCTGACCCTCATCTGTGCAGAATGTGCTTGTCCGTCGTGTCAGCATTACTGGGCACCCCTATGGTTTGTGGGTCCTGCTCTGTGGGCAGACGGGAGGGCAGGTGCCTGAGAAGGGGTGGGCTTCTGGCGTCAGGAATTTTCACCTGGACGCGTGAGTCATCAGGGTTCCACAGGCCTCCCATTTTTTTTTTTTTTTAAGATTTTATTTACTTATTTATTTTTCCCCCAAAGCCCTAGTAGATAGTTGTATGTCATAGTTGCACATCCTTCTAGTTGCTGTATGTGGGATGTGGCCTCAGCATGGCCAGAGAAGCAGTACGTCGGTGCGTGCCCAGGATCCGAACCCGGGCCGCCAGCAGCGGAGTGCCAGCACTTAACCGCTAAGCCATGGGGCCGGCCCTCCACAGGCCTCCTTAATGTCTCACAGAGCAGCAAGGAGGCTAGGGGCTCCTCCCTCTGAAGATGTGCTGTTCCTGGAGGATACCCCCGTGGTTGGAGAGTGAGTCCCTTTATGAACAGGGGAGCCCCTAGAACGTGAGCCCCGAGTAGCATGCCCTCCCGGCTCTCCATCCTGCTGTCAGGCCGCTCATGCCCGTCTGACTGAGCTTCTCTCCTTTCGGAGGCCGCCCACCCAGGGTTTTCTGGAATTGCTCCACGGGGGGATGTGTGCCTGCTGGACATGCCAGCCCTCCCCTCACAGCCTTCTGCTCCCGCAGAGCTGAGCAGACGCCCTCACTCGGCTGCTGCCCTCGGCGCTCCATCCCTTCCTCGTGGGTGGCTCTGAGAACTGGGGAAATGTCGGCATCTCAGAGTATGGGGTCCCATTTGAAAGTTGCTTGTCGACAAAGGTGGTGTTAGGGACTTGAATGGGCAGCTTGCCCATTTGATCTGGTCTCGCAGCAGAGCAGGGCCGAGTGGGAGAGCCTATGAGCGAGCCTCCCCTGCTTCCTTGCTCTAGAGGGGCCCTAACCTGCAAGCAGTGGGCATCTTCCTGAATGCAATGGAATTCATTTCTTGACAGTCAAGTGCTTTTTTTACTCCCCAACATTTTAAGGCTTCGGGGGGCAGGTTCTCACTGGAGTTGAAAGCAGCGCGTGTGGCCACTGCCTGGCTCCTCGGAGCTGAGTCACCCAGCCAGTGCTCGGCCCTTCAGCTTTTCCAGCCACTTTACGTGGACCACCTCGGGAACGGGATGCAGGGTTAAGTCTCTCCAAAGAGTTCTCTTGTCAATCACTTTGCAGGAAACAACAGCTCTTTTCTTAAAATGAAAGCACACTGAAAACCTGTTGAATGTGTATAAGTCATCTGAACCAAATTCATTTTCCAAATGTGCTCATTTACCGGATCTCTGGAATGCCCCCTGCTGGAGGCAAGCAGGTGGAGATTCTGAAGAAGCAGGGAACAGTGGGGGACCCGCTGAGGCCGGCAGGGAGCCGAGGGGCCTCGGGCGAGCGGGGGTGGAGGGGGGACAGAGAAACACCAGGGCCCCATGCAGCCTGGCATCTCACGTGTAGTCTTTCCTCTGTTCTCGCATTCTGAAACAGCTGAGCCACCTTGAAATATACTTTGGAATAATGTTGGGGTATAAATTAGTGAATCATTTGTTCAACAAAATATGTTTTGATCCTTTAGTAGAGGCCAGAGGGTGCAGTGGGATTCGTAAGAAATGCTTTTCATAATTTCGTCAGTGCTTTATGGGTTTTCTCTAGGCGCTTGTTTTTTGTTTGTTGTTTTTTTTTTTTCTTTTTTTGCAGAGAAGGATTCGCCCTGAGCTAACATCTGTTGCCAATCCTCCTCTTTTTTTTTCTGGGTATTTTTAAATGGGGTCCTCAGGGTGCGGCTCTGCCATACTGAGCCAGCCAGGTGTGGTGGACACGTACCCGGGGCTGGGATTCTGGTCTGATTTTGCTGTTTTTGTCAGGATGGCACGTCAAACTGGTTCGCCCAGACCATGGAGACGACATGCCCTGTGTTGGCAGAACGTCCATGTCTCCCTGTATAGGTGACTTGGGATCCCTGGGTGCAGACCTGCAGTGCCCTCCTCACCAAGGTGGAGAGTTAGAGGTCAGAGGGATCTGTTCAGCCTGTCTCTGAGGGATCACCACTCATAAGAGTGACTTTGCTGGCCTGGTTGATGCTCTGCTGTAGCTCACACCTCCTTTCTGTCAGAGCGAGGAGGAACGACGGGTGGGAAGGAGGCTGGAAATATATTGTGCGCCCGCCCGGGTTCTCTGGTGCTCAGGACCTTCGGCTGGTCCCAGGGAAGGCCATGGGGAGTCCCAAGAACTGCAGCCCCAGCCCTGTGACAGCCACCGGCTCTCCCTTGGGGTCTGTCTTTCCTCTGCCTGGAGAAAACAGCACTGTCCCCTCTTCGGCCCCATCCCGTCCTCAGCCCTGTCCCCCGGGAAGCAGAGGGCTCTGGTTCAGGCGTGCAATTCCGATTTCATTTCTGCTGGTATTCCCTGTTCGCCCCACCCTCAGCCCAGTTTGTTTCCCAGACTGAAGTGCTTCCTTCGAGGAGGCTCTGTCCACCCTCCTCACCTGCTTTCTCGTGCTCTCTCGCCAGGCAGTTTCACAGTTACCTTGACACCATGATGAAGGACATCTTGGTCCCCAATCTGCAGTGGCATGCGGGGAGGACAGCCGCAGCCATCCGCACGGCCGCCGTGTCTTGCCTCTGGGCGCTTATCAGCAGCGAGAGCCTGTCAGCCAAACAGGTAGGGTGCATCCTGGGCCGTGCGCGGTGGGGTGATATGCTCCCGGGCTCCCGGGGTCTTCCTGGCGGGCCTGCAGCAGCTTGAAGAACACACATCACTAGTGAGTCTCCTTCCAGGGAGGGCCAGCCAAACACTGCTTTCTACAGTAAACTAAGGGGAGGGAGCATGGGGCAACCAGAGGGCGAGAGCAGAGGGTGCGTCCTGGGCCGCAGAGTCTGGTGGGAAGGCATCTTGGGGTTTTTTTTGGTTTTTTTTTTTTGTGAGGAAGCTCAGCCCTGTGCTAACATCTGCCAATCCTCCTCTTTTTGCTGAGGAAGACTGGCCCTGGGCTAACATCCACGTCTATCTTCCTCTACTTTATATGGGACGCCGCCACAGCATGGCTTGACAAGTGGTGCGTCGGTGCGCGCCCGGGATCCGAACCAGCGAACCCCGGGCCGCCGCAGCAGAGCGCGTGCACTTAACCGCTTGTGCCACCGGGCCGGCCTTGGCATCTTGGTTTTTGATCATACTGGCGTTTTTTGGGTTTTACGTGGCGAATGTTACTCTTTATAAGACAAAGAATTTGATCACAGAAGCCTAGCTGTATTGAAGAGAGCTTGGGCTTTCTGCATTATTTTTATTCCTGTCTCCAGCTAATACGAGGGTGAAGGAAACGATAGAAACAGTATTAAAACATGGGCCGCACTGTGCTTGTGCCTCCCTGTCTTGACAGCAGCTCACCAGGCCCCCTCGTGCGTGAGCGCCCCCTCCTGGTACGCTGGGGGCTGTGACTGAAGTTAAAATGTCCCCCACGTTTTATTGGACACAACATATAGCCAATCTTGCCAGTAAGGAGCAGGCCATGTTAACACTTCATGAGTACCGGATTTTTAAAACATCAAGTGACAAAGTTAAACAAAAATTGTTCACATTGTCTAGATTTTAAATCAAATCTACTTCTTACATAGAAATTTCAAACTTCCATCATACAGTCATGCTCCACATCATGACATTTTGGTCAACAACAGACAGTGCAGACAGCGGTGGTCCCGTAAGCTCAGTACCCTATGGCCTAGGTGTGCACCATCCAGGTTTGTGTAAGTACACTCTCTGATGCTCACACAACGACGAAATCACCTGACGACGCGTTTCTCTGAACGTGCCCCGTTGTTAGGTGACACGACTGTGTTTGTACCAGAACAAGGCCCTTTACAGGCAGGGTGCACACGGTAGTCAAGCTCGTCATGAATCACATTGAGTGTGTTTTTACTAATTGCAGATACGGGAAGTGCAGGAAACACTGATGCCTCAGATTCTAACCACCCTGGAAGAAGATTCTCAGATGACTCGACTGATTTCATGCCGAATTATTAACATGTTTTTAAAAACCTCTGGTGGTGTGGTTGATCCAGATAAACTCATCAAGGTCTATCCTGGTAGGATGTTTTCCCTTTCCAAAGTGTATGTTTATATTTGTTTGACAGCTGTTTCTCTTATAGGAAAACTAGAAAAAGCTACTTTGACTTCTGGTCAGATTGGTACTATGAGTCCAGACATGGCAATGACAGATACAACATCGTGAATAAGAAACAGGACACACGTCTTGTGGACCAGAATTGGTGGGAGGGGAACTGGCAGAAGCAGGATGGAAGCTCAGGCCCCGACAGCAGCTGGGGGTGCAGCCCCAAGCATGGCAGGGACCGCCCCCTTGGAGCAGGAGCCATGGCCAGGTCCTCAGTGTGAGGACACACGTAGGACAAGGCTTGCACAGCAGCCGCACCTTAAAACCCCAGTGTCACTGCCTCTCTGGAGCCCAGCACAGACGAATGGCAGATGTGGAAGCAGAAAGCACCACTGAGCAGAATAGTGAATGCAGAGGGGGTCCCTCACTCAAGGGGAGCTGCAGACACAAGTTCCTAAGAACAGAAGGAAAAGCTGGCATCAAAGAGGACAGCACATATGCCCAGCACTAGAGGTGAGATGTAAATTATAGAACCACCTCAGTTGTCTTCCAGTTGTGTTGAAGATGCTCAAAAAGCTAAAAGGGTAATGTCCATTAAAAAGGAAGTTGAGAAACAAAACGGCAAATGGGAATGAAGGACAGATCATATGAAAAAGAATCCCCTGGAAATCCCAGGAAGATACGTGGGAATGAAGCCACTGATTTCAGGAGCGAGCTCCCTGTGCAGAGGAGGAGGAGGGTGGGGTGGGGTTGGATGTGCAGTGTCTGGACGTAGCTGTGATTTTACTTCTTAAACCAGGTGGCAGCTACACAGGTTTTCATCATTATCTGTACTTTTCATTTGCCACAAATATTTAGTAATTTTTAAGATGGTTTTTAAGGACTCCTGGAAATGGAAAATAGTCACTGAAATTTAAACCTTGGTGCACTGGATAAACGCTGGACTGAAGGTGGCTGAAGATGGAAGTCATGAATTGAAGGATAGTGATTTGGAATTCACTCAGGACGCGGTGCAGAGAAAGATGAAAGTGAGGAGGAGAAGGCGAGGCACGGAGTGTGAATCAAGAGGCTCCAGCTGTCTCTGAGCTCCACGAGAGAATGGAGGAGTAACATCGGACGACATCCTGGCTCCGAGTTTCCCAGAATTAAAGAGATGCGGCTTTTCAAAGTGCACGATGATGCTGAGCAGAAAGTGCCTCCTGATGAGACCCAGAGAGGAGGCCACCTCCTCTCACGTTCTTTCAAGTTTGTTTCTTGTTTTTACTTTTAGAGCAGCAAACATTTTATTCCCACTGACTGTCGTTATAGTTCTATTTTTGAACAAGTTTCAGCAGTGTGATTTGTTGGCTGTCAGGATTAGTTGGGAATTTACTCACTTTATATACCAGCGAAAAGGTCGCACATATTTGGACATTTGTCCTCCAGTTCACGGAAGATGAGCGTGGGGCTATTTTCATTACAGAAGGATTCCTCAGTGGGCTCCTTCACTTTAGGGATAATTCTGTGCTTCCTGCAGCAATGTGTTAGGAAAATTATTGCCCACATGGGCAGGAAGGGAAGGATGTCCTGAGGCGCCCCCTCAAGACCTTCCATGACCACCTGTTACAGACGCAGACCCAGGACAGGCCCACATAAGCTGTCCATTCTGCCCGAGTTGGTGCTTCCTCAGGAGGGGTAACTAAGTGATTACAAAAACGAATTTGCAGACCACCTTCTATATTTAGAACTCTGGAGTTGGGAGTCACCATCCTACGAAAATACAGTGGTGAGCTCCAGTTCCACGTCGTTCCCAGCGTGGGAAACGGCCCCACTCACGTGTTTGGAGGCCCTGGCCTTGCTTCTCGACCCCAGTAGCTGGCCGATGTAAACAAGTTAGGAGTCTTTCTGACTCAGTTCCTCCCTCCTGAGACAGGGTATCTGCCTCACAGGCTGATTGAGGGCTACAGGAGGGAGTGCTCAGCGGGACGTGCCCTGTGGTGGTTCCCCCTTTCCTTCTGTGGCTACGAGGTTTGTAAACACTCGAGCTTCTGCCCTTTCTGCCACCACGTAGGCCCAGCACCCTTAGGAAGGTGCCAGTATCTTCCATGCATCAATGCCAGTGGGTCCCACTCATCTCAAATCCTGCCCTCTTGGGGGGGCTCCTGACTGTGCACGTATTTAATGTCTGTCGATAAGCCAGGAGCTACCTGCTAGGAGTAGAACCACCCTCCGTGTGACAGCACAAGCTCACAACCATGCGGGCCTGCGTCTAGAGTATAGCCCTCCCACCAAGCATGGGCAGCTGCCCTGGCTCCCTGCCAACATGCACTTCCCATGCTCATTTTGTGTGCCGGATTGTCTGCTGAGCCTCCAAAAGATTCCCAGTCGTAGGGGCCAGAGGTTTCTTATAGGTTATGTGAGAAAAGCATACATTTGATAAAAACCTTATTCATTAACGGTAAGAGTTTTTCTGTATCAGGAAATATCGTTATTCTGTTTTCAGCAGCAGAATGGTCTGGTCCCAGAGGCTCAGCAGAACAAAACTGACACAGCTGGCGACTGTCACGTCACCAGCCTTCCGCTCTGTCCCCAGAGCCTGTGGAGGGCAGGGTAGCAGACTTTGCTCCTGTGCTGTCTGCTCATCAGGGAGGATGGGGCGGCCAGGGCGTGGTGCCTGTGGATGATAGACTGAATCTGAGCGTCTCAGAGCCACAGAGGGCTGAGGGGCCGCCTCACAGAGGGAGACAGTGCAGAGCAGCTCAGGCCTGCCGAGCATGCAGGGCACGGTGGGGCCAGGTCACTCCTCCTCTCTGTGTCCACGGTATCCACCAAGGGGTGCCGGAACACCGGGAGCTGCCCGCAGCACCTTGCATGTGACGTCTCGGTGCACGGTCTCCCCACAGATGTGGGTTTCCTAGAGCCTGAGAGTGAGTGCTCCACAAGTGTGGGGTTAAATTCCTGACCCAGAAGTGTATGTGTGAGCAGTCTGCTCTGGGATCTCTCTCACACTCCTGCTCTGTCCCCTCCTTCTAGAACTCCTGAAGCGACTGGATGATGTTTCCAATGAAGTGAGGCTAGCAGCTGCCTCCACCTTGGTCACCTGGCTGCAGTGTGTTGGGAACAACGACGGGAAGTCTTACTACCAGAGTAACATTCATTACCTGTACAAGGAACTCCTCGTCTACCTCGATGACCCAGAGAGCGCCGTCCAGGACGCAGTTTTAGGTGGGAGTTTCCATGACTTGTAATTAATTCTGATACCTGTTTTGAGTGCCTTAATACAGATCTTCACAGCTAAGTAGTTTGGTTGGCTGCCCGGGGGTGCAGCAAGCCAGGTGGTTGGTGCTCCCTCAGGTCCACAGTCTCGGGACCCCTTTGTGCCCGGAGTAATTGGAGATCCCAGAGGGCTCTACAGACCCTGATATTCACCGTAATAGAAGTTAAAATTGAGAAAACTTTAAGATATTTATTAACTTGTATAAAATAACACTAGATCCATTACATAGTAACGTAAATAACGTGTTTTTGAAAGATATATTTTCCAAAACGAAACAATGAGCAAGAAGAGTAGCAGAGTTTTATATTTCTGCAAATCTCTCACTGTCTATTTGATAGAAGACAACTAGATTTTCACATCTACTCCTGCATTTGGTCGGTTGTGACATATATTGTTGTGGTTGAAGGATATGAAGGAAGTCTGGCCTCAGACGTGCAGTTGGAAAAGAGAGGAGTATTTTAGCAGCCTTTTCAGATGATTGTGGGTATTCTGTGATACGGCACCAAAACTGGGCAGGTGGTAGTCTCCTAAAGGTTCCTTGGGGTGTAGACTCTGAGGCCAGTGTGTAACCGTACCAGGGACATTCAAGTCCATCCGTCCAGCCTGCACCTTGAATGTGTGCTTTGTCACATCACGTGTCGGTCACTTGGAAAGTGTTACCACTGAATTATGAATCTCTTCCTAACGTTGACATGTTTCGTTACTCAGTGTCAACAAGTCACGCTTGTTAGCACTGAGCTCAGGAGAGTCTTGGGAAGAAAAGCTTCAAACTTACGGTGGCAGAAACAAATTTTCTGTAATTCTGATTTCTGCTTGAAAGCTTAAATTTTATCATTGGCCTCAGATACTGTCACTTCATTCATTTTTGAGAAAATGTTCTTCCAGGTACCTGAGTCTGAATTACCAGAGTTGTCAGTTGTTTGTCAGTTGGTGGTTCTTTTGGGTAAAGGGTGGTGTCCGGGAAGCTGCTGGTTCACAACTGCTGTACTTCTCGGGTCGTCCCCTGGGGTCTGTGCAAGTTGGGCTGAGTGGACGCTGCAGTAAGAAGGTGTGTCGTCATCCCTAGAGCAGCCGCAAAAGGGTAACGCAGAGCAGTGTAACTGAATGCCAGAAAATAGATCATAAGTTAGAGTGGAATTCTAAAGAGTATTCAAATAACCCAAAGGAAGTCAAGAACGGAGGAAGCAAAGGACATAGAAACGGGACAAGCAAGAGACAAAAAGACCAAATCCAGCCATGGCCACAGCATCAAATGTGAGCGAGCTGGATGCTCCCGTTAAAAGGCAGACATTGTCAAGTCAACAAAAATCAAGGCTTAACACTAAATTCATTAATTGATTACAGGTTGGGTGCTCAGGGATTGAGGTTTAATAAAATAAGTAACTTTTACTGCTTTATTGAAGATACTTTTTTTTTTCTGGCTGAAGGAGATTATCCCTGAGCTAATATCTGTTCCAGTCTTCCTCTATTTTGTGTTTGGGTCGCTGCCTCAGCACAGCTGACAAGTGGTGTAGGTCCGCGCCTGGGATCCGAACCCAGGCCGCCAAAGCGGAGCACACCGAACTTTAACCACTAGGCCATGGGGCCGGCCCCCCAAAGATACTCTTAAAAGAAGGTTGCTGTGAATGTGGAGTGACCACCCTCAAAAAGCAGGGCTGTAAGCCCGCTGGGCCGCTCATTCCTTGTCTGGCACCATCACTGCAGGCAGGCACAGTGAACAGGCAGGTTGTGCCCTAGTTTTGACTCACAGACTCCTGAGGGTCTCAGGGACCTCAGGGATCCTCGGAGCACACTTTGAAAACCACAGCCTCAGGCCAGCTGCAGGTTCAGGCATGACCAGTCCTGCTTTGTGTGACTGCATGGTGCTGACAGTGGTTGGGCGGCCAGGGAGAGGTTCTCTGGATAACGGAAACATACCAGGATTCGAGACTAACTGGAAACTCCTGAAACAACAGCAGCTCAGGTGCAGACTGGTGTCCTGGCCTCCCTGAGCAGTGGTGTCCAGCACATGGCAAAGTCTGGATTATTTGACCAGATGTTACCCTGCCCATTCTTACACACCCCACACCTTCCTGTCCTCACCCCTTCTCTCCTGTCAGCCTTCTCTAATGTATATAGTGCGGTTCCCACCTGAGGCCGGGTGTCTAGGACACAGGGCAGAGTCTGCACAATGCGTCCTCCGCCTCCCAGACCTGGTGGGACCATCAGAGGGACTTCCAGGATGACAGAGTCCCCACTCCTTTGCTCACGCCCTCCTCTCCCTCACACCCTGACCTCAAGATGCCCCAGCCCGCAGCACAGCCTGCTTCCCCACTGTCCACCTCAGCATCCAGCCCACCAGTCACATATCAACTGTGGCCACTGCACATTCTCAATCGCTCGCCTTATGCTGACCCGGGGAGGTGCTGGTGACCCAGCTCTGTCTCCCAGAGGACTGTTTCACGCCTTCTCTTCTGTCCTCAACCCCCCGCACCTCCTCCCTGGGCCTGCTGCCTGATGACCTTGCCTCTGTCCCCCTGAGAAGGTCCAGCTCCCCCACATCCTCTTTTTGCGGCAGGTCAGTTGCCGCCCTTGTTCAGGCCGCGCTTCACCTGTGTCCCACAGCCCATCTCCTCCCGCCTCGCCCAGGTCTGCGCCTGAGACACTTCCCCCCCATCCAACCTCATAAACTCTGTTATTTATCCCATCTTTGAAAAACAAAGCACCCTTGACCCCACTTCCCTCGTGTGCCCTCCCCAGCAGGGCTCCTTGGAAGAGTCCAAGTGTGAGCCTGCCTCCTCCCCCTTCTCCGAACCCCCCACCCTGCAGCTCCCCTACAGCCACCTTGTCACCGTCCCAGTGACCAGTGTTGCTAAAGCCAGCCTCCTCCTCGGTCTCTTCTCCCTGCACCTTCCATGGCACGTGATACGGCTGCTGGTCACCACCTCTGTCCCATGGCTTCCAGGACTCCCTCGCTTCTGGGCTTCCCGTCTCTCTGGCCTCTGCTCCTCTGCACCATTGCTGTGCCTCTGGGCCCCCTGCCTTGCAGACGTGGGGCCCTCCTTGCACCTCTTCCCCCGTCTGCGCTCACTCTCTAGGTCATCTCATCTCATCTCGTCTTGTCTCCTTGCTTGAAACACCACCCACATGCTGATGACTCCCAGACTGACACCCAGGCCCAATGTCTGCCCTGAACTCCAGACATGCACGTGCCCAGCTGCTCAGTGAATGCCTGGTGGGCATCGCAGCCTCACTGTTCAAGCCGAGCCTGGGGCCACTGCCCCCCCTTGCCAACCCTGCTCCCCCTGCTGTGTTTCCATCCTCCCCGTGACTGAGGGCAGAGATCTCAGAGCTGGATCTGATGGCTCCTACCTGCATCACTACAGCATCCTGCCCTGCCTGCCTCCACCAGAGGGATCCTGCAGGACGATTCAGATGGTGCCCGTCCTTGGCCCAGAATGCCTGCCGCCCCCTCGCACCTGGAGTTCCACCCCCTCAGCACCCTTGTCTGCATCGCCTCCTATGCTTTTCCCTGGCACACTCACCACCATTAACATCCTGGACATTTTCCCCCTTGATTTTGATTATTGTCAACTGCTCCCAAACTAAAATGTGACTCCCAAGGATGAGTTTTTGTTGCCTGCTATGTCCACAGTGCCCGGCACATCGTAGGCTTATAGTAGGTATTTGTTGAATGAATCAGCATCAGTAAATACGATGATAAAAGTGTCCATTTTTCTAAGCCAATTTATCTGCTAATGCAAAAAACTGTTTCTAAGGCCAGAAATGCCACCCAGACACCCTCAGAGACTTTGAAAGGTTCTTGTCTTTCACAGTCTGACAGCAACTCCAAGATGATTTTTTTAAGTTCTTTTTGTCCATATTATGACTATTGTCTGCTAATCCAGCAACATCAGATAGATTTAAAGTGCTTTAATAGGTTTTTTTTTTTAATATTTTATTATTTAGAGCAGTTTTAGGTTCATAGCAAAATTGAGGGGAAAGTACAGAGATTTCCCATATACCCCTGCCCCCATACACATACAGCGCCCCCCCCCCCACTGTCAGCATCGCCCACCAGATGATACATTTGCTACAGTCAGTGAACCTGCATGGACATGTCATCATCACCTAGAGTTCATAGTTACAGTAGGTTCACCCTTGGTGTGGTACCATCAGTGAGTTTGGACAAATGTACAATGATGTGTATCCATCATTATGGTCTCATATAGAGTAGTTTCACTGCCCTAAAAATCCTCTCTGCTCCGCCTGTCTCCCTCCCCTGCCCCCCAATCCCTGGCAACCACTGATTTTTTCACTGTCTCCATAGTTTTCCTTTTCCAGAGTGTCATATAGTTGGAATCAGACAGTATGTAGCCTTTTCAGATTGGCTTCTTTCACTTAGTGATATGCACTTAAGTTTCCTCCACGTCTTTTCACAGCTTAATCGCTCATTTCTTTTTAGAGAATAGTATTCCATTGTCTGGATAGACCACAGTTTATCCGTTCACCTACTGAGGACATCTTTGTTGCTTCCAAGTTTTGGCAATCATGAATAAAGCTACTGTAAACATTCATGTGCAGCGTTTTGTGTGAACATAAGTTTTCAATTCCTTTGGGTAAATATCAAGGAGTGTGATTGCTGGATCTTATGTGTTAAGAGTATGTTTAGTTTTTTAAGAAACTGCCAAACTGTCTTGCAAAGTGGCTGTACCATTCTGTAATCCCACCAGCAATGGATGCAAGTTCCTGTTGTGCCACATCCTCTCCAGCATTTGCTGTTCTGGATTTTGGCCATTCTGATAGATGTGTAGTGGTATCTCATTGTTTTAATTTGCATTTCCCTGATGAAAACTTATGTGGAGCATCTTTTCATATGCTTATTTTCCATCTGTATAGCTTCTTTGGTGAGGTGTCTGTTAAGGTCTTTGGCCCATTTTATAATCGGATTGTTTGTTTTCATACTGCTGAGTTTTAAGAGTCTTTTTTACATTTTGGAGTCCTTTATCAGAGGTGTCTTTTGCAAATATTTTCTGCCAGTCTGTGGCTTGTCTTCTCAGTCTCTTGACATTGTCTTTTACAGAGCAGAAGTTTTTAATTTTAATAAAATCCAGCTTATTATTTCTTTCATGGATTGTACCTTTGGTCTTCTATCTAAAAAGTCATTGCCATACCCAAGGTCATCTAGGTCTTCTCCAATGTTATTTTCTAGGAGTTGTATAGTTTTGAATTTTATATTTAGGTCTATGATCCATTTTGAGTTAATTTTTGTGAAGGGTTAAGGTTTGCGTCTAGATTTTTTTTTTTTATTTAGATGTCCAGTTATTCCAGCATCATTTGTTGAAAAAACTGTCTTTGCTCCATTGTCAAAGATCAGGTGACAATATTGATATGAGTCTATTTCTGAGCTCTCTAATCTGTTCCATTGATCTATTTGTCTGTTCTTTCACCAATAACACACTGTCTTGACTACTGTGGCTTTATAGAAAGTCTTGAAATCGGATAGTGTCAGTCCTTCAACTTTATTCTTCTCCTTCAATATTATGTTGGCTCTTCTGGGTCTTTTGCCTCTCCATATAAACTTTAGAATCAGTTTGTCAATTTCTACAAAATACTTTGCTGGAATTTTGATTGGGATTGCATTAAATCTGTAGATCAAGTTGGGAAGAACTGACATCTTGACAATATTGAGTCTTATCTGTGAACATGGAATATCTCTCCATTTATTTAGTTCTTTTATTTCATTGATGAGAGTTTTGTTATTTTCTCCATGTAGATCTTGTTCATATTTTGTTTAGATTTATACCTAAGTATTTCTTTTTGGGGGGTATTAATGTAAATGGTATTGTGTTTTTAACTTCAAGTTCCACTGTTTGTTGCTGGTATATAGGAAGGTGATTGACTTTTGTATATTAACCTTGTATCCTACATCCTTGCTATAATCGCTTATTAGTTCTGGGAGTTTGTCAGTTCTTTCAGATTTTCTACATAGACAGTCATGTCATCTGCAAACAAAGACAGTTTTATTTCTTCCTTCCCAGTCTGTATATTATCTTTTATTTCCTTTTCTTGCCTTATTGCATTAGCTAGTACTTCCAGTACAATGTTGAAAAGAAGTGGCGAGAGGGGACATCCTTGCCCTGTACCTGATCTTAGTGGGAAAGCTTTGAGTTTCTCACTATTAAGTATGATGTTAGCTGTAGTTTTTTGTAGATATTCTTTATCATGTTGAGGAATTCCCCTCTATTCCTAGGTTACTGAGAGTTTTTATCATGAATGGGTGTTAGATTTTGTGAAAATGCTTTTCTGCATCTATTGCTGTGATCAAGTAAGTTTTCTTCTTTAGCCTGTTGATGCAATGGGATACATTAATTGATTTTGAAATGTTGAACCAGTCTTGCATACCTGGGATAAATCCTACTTGGTGTTGGTGTATAATTCTTTTTATATATTGTTGGATTTGATTTGCTAGTATTTTGTTGAGGATTTTTTTGCGTCTATGTTCATAAGAGATATTGGTCTGTAGTTTTCTTGTAATGTCTGGTTTTGTCTTAAGATAATGCTGGCCTCATAGAGTGAGTTAGGAAGTAGGTTTTTTGTAGATGTTCTTTATCAAATGTCTTTGTCTGATTTTGGTATTAGGCTAATGCTGGCTTCATAGAGTGAGTTAGAAAGTGTTCCCTCTGCTTCCGTCTTCTGGAAGAGATTGTAGAGAATTAGTATAATTTCTTCCTTAAAGATTTGGTAGGATTCATCAGTGAACCCATCTGGGGCTGATGCTTTCTGTTTTGGAAGGTTATTAATTATTGATTCACAATTTCTTTGATACAGGTCTATTAAGATTGTCTATTCTTGTGTGAATTTTGGCAGATTGTGTCTTTCAAGCAATTGGTCCACTTCATCTAGGTTATCAAATTGGGCAAAGAGTTGTTCAAAGAACCAGATTTGGGTTTTGTTGATTTTCTTTATTGATTTCTGCTCTGATTCTTATTGTTTCTTTTCTTCTGCTTACTTTGGGTTTAATTTGCTCTTCTTTTGCTAGATTCCTAAGGTAGAAGCCTAGATTATTGATTTTAGATCTTTCTTCTTTTCTAGTATATGAATTCAATGCTATAAATTGCTCTCTAAGCATTGCTCTCACTGCATCCCACAAATTTGGTGGGATGTGTTTTCATTTTTGTTTAGTTCAAAATGTTTTTTAATTTCTTCTTTTGATTTCTTTTTCGAACATTATGTTATCTAGAATGTGTTTAATCTCCAAATAGTTTGGGATTTTCCTGTTCTCTCTCTGTTACTGATTTTTATTGATTGTGGTCTGAGAGTAGACATTGTATGATTTCTATTCTTTTAAATTTGTTAAGGTATGTTTTATGGCCCACACTGTGGTCTGTCTTGGTGAACATTCCATGGGAGCTTGAGAAAAATGTATACTCTGCTATTGTTGGATGAGGTAGTCTATAGATGTCTGTTGTATCCATTTGATTGGTGGTGGTGTTGAGTTCAGCTATGTCCTTACTGATTTGTGGCCTGCTGGATCTATTTGAGGGGTGTGGGAGTCTCCAACTACAATAGTGGATTCATCTGTTTCTCCTTGCAGCTCTCAGTTTTGTCTAATGTAGTTTGATGCTCTGTTATTGGGTGCATACATGTTAAGGACTGCTATGTCTTTTTGGAGAATTGACCCCTTTATCATTATGTAATGCCCTCTTAATCCCTGATAACTTTCCTTGTTTTTCAGTCTGCTCTGTTTTAACTTGAACATGAAGCTTATGTGCATTTCACAGTAATTGCCTTAATACTTATTTCTGGCATTTTAAAGGTGTTTTCCTGTTTTACAGAGGTCCTAAAAGCTGGCAGTGCCCTATTTCCTGACCTCCTGGTGAGGGAGACGGAGGCCGTCATCCACAAGCATCGCTCTCCCGCCTACTGTGAGCAGCTCCTGCAGCACGTACAGGCCTTGCCGCCTGCTCAGTGACCAGCGTCTGGGAGCAGAGCCTTCAGTGCAGCAGCTGGACGTCCTTGTCCTCATCTTGATGGGATTTGTGGCCTTTAAACCTCGTAACAGGGCACCTTTTGTCAACAGCCTAGGACACTCACAAGCAAGACTTGGACAGCGAGAAGAATGTATTCCCTAAGAAACATGCCCTGGATTCTCCTGGGACAGTTTTTCAAACCCAGCCATTTCTGAAATTACATTCACTGAGTGGCTTCTATATTTTTATGTCTTATTTATACAGTTCATTGAGAAGTCTGCCAAAAATCTCCAGCTGATTTGAAATTAAAACTGGATGTCAACTAATACTGGCAACCAAATCAGATCTTTTTTTAAGGCTACATGCACTGCTAGGTTCATGGCTTAATTGGTTCTCTCTTGCTTAAATGCACACCAAGAAAGTTCTTGACTGTTTTTTTTTTTTTAAAAAAGCCACAGTGATTAAAAAGAAATTTCATTCTTTCTTTGGGTTCTGTGTGCTGAAACTTAACATCTCAGTGAACAGACTAAAAGGAATTTGAAACCTTAAGACCTATTATCAATCAGATTTTTCCCATTTAAAATATACTTGAATGCAAAATGTTATGTGGTCACAGTGTTTTTTCTTAGGTCAGTAATACTAACAGTGTTGAAAATAGAATATTTAACCAGATACAATTTTTTTTGCTCTCTTACAAGTAGCAATAAAGTAAAATTATATTTTATTCTCTAGCACTTTCTACACCCAAGTGCCTAAAATATTTCATTTTAAGTGGGTGTTATTTCCACGAGCCAAATATTTATGTTAATACAAGGAAAAAAAAGCGTTTTGTGTATTTTCCAACAATCAAATATTAGCATTTTTGCTTTGGTGTTAGAAAATTTAATTAAAAATATTTATTATAATTATTTTGTATGCCTGTCTTTGTGCTTTGGTAATTAATGGACATTTTTAGAAAAGGCTCATATCTTCCTTAGATTTAACCTCCCAGGGATCCCAGGCTCAGGAATTCTGGGCCTCTGGCCTGAGAGGGGGCTGCCCCTGCTCGTTGCAGTGCCCTCTCTGGACACCAGGTGGCAGGAGCCCCACGCAAGTGAAGACCAGCACCAGGGTGGCAGCAGGGTGCCCCCGCCCCGGAAAAGGCTGGGTGTTGGAGGGTCTGAATCTGCAGTACAGTCTTGGGTCACTGAAGCCTACGCCCCACGGGATCGTCTTGACTGCACTGTCCCTTCCGTCTCCTCAGAGCCTCTGACGTGACTGCTCTGTGAGCCCAGGTTCTGGAAATGACATACTTGATGGCTACAGGGACTTAGGGTGCCCTTGGGGGTGTTCTTCCACCAGTTCCCTGATCACCTTTTGCCCTCTGCATCCTCGGCCCTGTCCTTCTCAGCATCACCTGGAAACCTGTTAGAAATGCACGTTATCGAGCCTCAGCCCAGACCTCCTGAATCAGAGACTGCGGATCGCCCCTCCAGGGGATCCTGATGCCACCAAAGTGTGGGGACCCTGTCCTGGGTACCACACATTTTCACGTCCAGCAAGAAGCCCCATCTGCTCACTTTGGTCAGCCATTAAGTGTCACAGGAACCAAGAGTAAATGTCAGAGAGTTTGGCCGAGAGGACAAGGTGCTAAAGAACACACTCAGCTCCTCCACCCACAAGGCACGTGTCGGAGGGGCTGACACTTGTGGCTTCCCACTGCCATGCTGGCTGCCACACACATGTCAGCACTTGCATTTCTGTCTATCTTTCAGGGGAAGTAGAGGCAGCTTTACAGGGAAGCAGTGCCCCCTGGCGCAGTGTTAACAGCTGCGTGTGTCCAGAGGGAGACATGAAAGCTCGGCTCACGGAGGGTAGTGATATCAACTCTCCTGCTGAGAAGCAACAGGTCTCCTCTCCACTTCTCAAATTCTTCTAAGCGCTTCACTCAGTTCAATCAGCAACTATCTATGGAGCCCTAACCCCCATGTGTCAGGTGGCAGAGAAGAGAGAGATACAAAATGCAGTCCCTGAGGTTCACAGCGTTATTGAGGTATAATATACACACCATGAAATTCACCCTTGCCCAGTGTACAGTTAGGAGAGTTTTAGCAAGTTCATGCAGCTGTGCTCCCATCACCAGTCTTAGAACATGCCATCACCCCAGAGCTCCCTCGGGCTGTCTGCGTTAGGTCCCTGCTCCCACCCCAGCCGCAGGCAACCACTGACCTGCCTCTGTCTCTAAACTCTTGTCTCTTCTAGGTATTTCGTATAAATGGAATCACAGGATATGTGGTCTTCTATGCCTGGCTTTTTTTCTCTTAGCATAAAGTTGAGGTTGTTTATCCATTCACTGTTCAGGGGTCAGCAGTCTCTTTCTGTAAGGGGCCAGAGAGTAAATATGTTAGGCTTTGTGCACCACATGGCCTCTGCCACAAATACCCACTCTGCTGTTACCCGTCCACTTGCTGGTGGACGTTCAGGTGGTGCAGTCTGAGGCCACCATGAACAAAATTGCACTGAGCTTTGTGCAATGTGTGGGCATGTTCCACTGCTCTCAGCGGGACAACTCAGAGTAGAATTATAGTTCAGATTTGATATGTGTCTGTAGTCCCTGATTGATTGATTGATTGTTATTTTAACTGCTCTATTGAGGTATACTTGTTATAATTAACTAACTGCACATATTTAAAGTGGGCAATTTGGTAAGTTTTGACATGTGCACACACCCACAAAACCACCACCACCACCAAGATAATGAATTTCTCGTCACTCTCGAAAGTCCTCTCCTGCCCCTTCGTAATTCCACCCTCCTGCTCCCTCCCCCAGCCTTACCGCCTTGCACCCCATCTCCATGCAACACTGATCTGCTTTTAGTCACTGCACAATAGTCTGCATGTTTTAGAATTACATGTAAATAGATTTATACAATATGTACTCTTTTACTTGGCATAATTGAGATCCATCCATAGTGTAATGTCCATCAGTAGTTCACTCCTTTTTATTGCTGAGTAGTAGTCCATTGTATGGATATACCACAAGTTTGATATATGTTTGTTTCTAGTTTTTGGCTATTACAAATAAAGTTTCTTAGAACATTCGTGTACAAGTCTTTGTGTGGATACATGCTTTCATTTCTTTTGGGTAAACATTTAGGAGTGGAATGGCAATCCTAGTAGATGTATACTTAAGTTTTTGAGAAACTGCCAAACTATTTTCCAAAGTGGTGGTACCATCTTATATCCCCACCAGCACTGTATGATAGTTACAGATCCTCCCATTCTGTCAACATTTGATGCATACATCTTTTTAATTTTACCTACTCCAATAGGCATGCGATGTTATCTCCATATGGTTTTAATTTGCATTTCCTTAACATCTAATGATGTCGAGCATCTGTTCATGTGCTTATTTGCCATCTGTATACCTTCATTGGTGAAAAATCTTAAAATCTCTTGCCCATTTTTTAAAAATTGGATTGTTTCCTTATTGAATAAAAGAATTCTTCATATATTCTGCATATAAGTCCTTTATCATATATATGATTTGTAAATATTTTCTCTTATTCTGGAGCTTGTCTTTTCATTCTTCTAACAATGTCCTTTGAAGAACAGAAGTTTTTAGTTTTGAAAGAAGTCTGATTTATCAGCTCTTTTATGGATCGTGCTTTTGGTGCTATCTCTAAGAAATATTTGCGTAACCCGAGTTTTCAGTTCCTGAATTTTAAGAAGTTCAGAAAGTTATTTTCATAAAGATAATTCATCTATTTGCCCCTACCTACACCGTGGTTCAAAGGCAAGTTTTACTTCCTTTTAAAATCTCCTTTCTGTGACCTAAATGAAAACATGAGGTCACGATGTGGTGAGTTGGTTGGTTTAAGGTAAAACACCTACCTTTTAATAGCCAGGGCAGCCTTATTATAATAATCTCTGAAATACATTAATAGTTGTAAAAACAAGGAGCACAACACTGCACATAGAATGCACCACACATAAAAAGAGGAGTTAGGGAGCTGCCTATTTGCTTTTATATGCATAAAATATTTCTAGAAGTGTACAAAAGAAACTAGTAAGAGTGGTGGCCTCCGGGGAGGGGACCTGTCTGGCTGAGGGACTGGAGGGGAAGTTCAGTCTTCGCCTTTTGGTACCTTTGAATTCACTTTCTTGTGCATGTATTACCTAGTCAAAAACACAACTCAGATGAGAGTAATTTGTAAATCAGAAACCCAACTGACATCGGGTGATGCTCTTAGCTCCTAAGTCAGCACACCCGTTTCTTTTGTCGAGACAACAGGGCCCCGCCCCAGGGAAGGATGTTCAGGATGTCTAAGCAAAAGGCTTATCAAAAAAGTTGTTGAGAAATGAAAATGCAAAGACTTGTACTCAAGTGTTCCTAGAAGCTTTAGTCCAACCCCAAACTGAAAAGAACCCAAATGTCCATCAACAATTATGACTGGATCAACAAATTGTAGCACATCCATACAACAGAATACTCTACTGCAATGAAAAGGAGCAAACGACCAATACACACAGCCCCACTGATGGCTCTCACAGATGTCCAGCTGAATTAAGACACCAGCTGTAAAAGAGTGCAGACCACATGCCTTCTTCTCTGTGTAAATCTAGAACTGGTAAAGCTGTACCACGGTTCTTTTTTAATCATCGAGTCAGCGATGGGTGCTATATCAAATCATCAAATTGGTTATACCCTTCTCTCTACTTGCGTACGTGTGAATTTTGTGTGAATTATTTCATAACTGTAAGTATTAAAACTTTAAAAACAAGCATCTGGCTGAGCTTTGAAGGCAAAGGCTAAGAGTACATGCTCCCAGAGGCTGCCTCCTCCAGGCAGGAGCAGGAAGTGTCCTGTCCTCTCACTGAAGGTTTGCCTGGCCACTACCAGTTGCCTTATGATCAGCCTGGAAAATTCAATTTTCTCTGAAGATGAATCTTTCTTCCTGACTTTTCCCCATTTTCCTGATTCTCTAAACAGCCGGTGTCACCCAGACATCCCCCATGTGACATCAGACATAAGAGAAGCAATCACTGCATGTTACTTAGGGTGGTGGGCTATGAGTGGCTTTTTTTCTTCTGTTTTGCAGACTTGAGTCACTTGTCATTGTAACGGCATTTTACGAGGCCACAGACAGCGCTGTTGGGGACGACACTGGTATCTCAGG